TGACCTCCCTTCAAGCTTTTCGATAAAGCGCAATGTATGCATCTTGAACTTTGCATTTAAAGCGCGATTCTGTTTATCTGCAAACTCTCGATTAATTCTAAAGCTTGATCTTCTTTCTTCACAAGATCGTTGACGATAGTTTTCAAATAACAAGTTTTCTTTCTGGGTATACAACTTCAAATTGACAATTTAAAGATTTTTATTAATCATATATCATTTTTGTAAAAATAAATAAATTATGTTGTTTAAATAAATACAATAGCTGGATATAATTTAAATTTATTTTTAATCATTTTGCACATTTTTCTTGTACATTTTCTTGTTATATTGACTAAACGACAAGCATCATGCAATTATACATTAAGATATACTCATAATATATTATAAAAAAAAATTAATATACAATTTACTAATATTAAACCAATAAATGGCAAGATAAAAACTATTAAAAATTATGAAAAAGAAAGAATTTGAGGAGAAATTTATGTTTGCCAAGTTAGTTATATCATATTAAAAAACTTTTTAATTTTTTATTCTTTTCTTTAAATTTCTTACTTTTCGCTGCAGATATCCCAATAAGCATTATTTGCGTACAAATTATATGTCTAACAAGAAGAATTATTTTTCCAATACCAACATGAAATGCTATAGGTTTCTGTTAGAAACAGGTTAGGTTTTTCGTCTGCATCAGCTACAAGCCATAATTGAAGTTAATTCGTTTCTGCAATTACGATGTAACAAGCAGCTGACAAAGCCATGTCATTCAATTTCGAATAAATTTAACTTCAGATAGAGAATGATATATTTAAATAATTAAAAACAGAACCGCTCGGCGTCAAAGTATTTATATCATTTTATTTAATCTTACTTACTATGCATAGTAACTTACAACTATCGCTTTACTTTTAATTACTTCTAACTTAAAAACTACTGGTAGCAGAACAGCCATACTTCTCGAGGTCTATTCTTTAGTATGTGTAATTTAAAAGAATGGCGACAGTTCTGGAACGCTGTGCACCTTCAACGTACTTGAAAAGTATGTCTACTAAGTTCAACTTCATTCGAAGAACAGCATCGTGATACCATAAGTTTGAAAAGTGTGATAGCGACAAAATATTTTAACGATACTGCACGCAGTATTTGCCCGTATTTGCCGGATCAGATTTCAGAAAATCGCTCGAATAAACTGTTTTGTTACTAACTAACTAACCCAGTTTAACCAGCATGTAAATTGTGAGCGGATAAGTAGCACAAATCGTTACTCGACGTGTGTCCCTGTATCGTTGCTTGGACGGACGCCGTGATGTTACGAAGCGTGACAGAGATTTATTGCATCTGCCGGTATGAAGTCACCGATCCGCACGGCAGTAGGACGGAAATGCAAGTGTAAATGTCATCAGCGAACGCGGAAATGGCAGCGGTGAGCACCGATGCGTGGAAACTCAGAATTTCGATGGAAAATAGAAGGAAAATAGAAATGCGCTATTATCTACTTTTCAAAAAAATGCTAAACTCTAACTCGTTTCTCTCTGAAAAAAAGAATTGAAATTTGCAATTTTCTTTGCTTTTGTGTTTTGGAACTTTTATGGAAACCGGAAATAAGCTTACATATAGTAAAAAGAGGGGGAGGAAAGAAATTATGTGAATTATGTGCGTTAAAGCTTATTTTTCACGTTCTCTTATTATGTTCCGCAATATTCAATATACGTCTCTTTTTTCGGAAAACAGCGGACGGACAGAAATCCATTATTCATAGGTATTTCACGCAAACCCGTTTTCTTTTGTTGTTTAAAGAACCGACAACATAATGGACAAACAGGCCGCGCAGCGTGGCGCCCGATGGAGCGTGCGATATTTATTAATGCAACAGAGAATTATGTGCAACGAACAATTGTAATTTATTGACCAGCAGCACGGCCAGGCGCGAAAACTGCAATTGCAATTTTGCACGGCGCGATGCACTGCACGTCGCACGCATTATTTAAAATATACGGCGCGCGGACAACTGGTCCGGAATAATGACAAATATATTATTAGGCCATGCGCGAAATGACGCGGGTCGCGGATAGAACAGCCATTACGACGGCCAATGTAATTAATATGTAATCTCACGCATGCGAGTGCTTCTTCGAACGCTGTCAATTTAAAAAGTGATTTCGTTTCTACGAATACTTTATTCATTTTGTCTATTCAAATCGTGCGAGATTTTTTTTATACAGTTAAAAATATAAGAAATATTAATAAGAAAAATGCAATGGAAAAATAATATAATTATTTCATATAATTACTGCCGCATTGAAAATAAATTGAAAATAAATTACAACGTAAAGAAAAATAAAAATAGGAGACATAAAATTAAATTAATTCTATTCTCAAAACAATATAGAAAAGTATAAAAATGATTTGATAAATTTGATATTGGGAAGAGGAAAATCGACGAGCATGATTTGTGATTTTTGGTTGTACACCCTCATACAGCCATCGCGCGTTCTTCCTTCAGAATATGACAAGAACGTTACTAATTTGATTAATCTCATCGCGTCTCGTACCTCTTTCCTGGCTCCCACCAACGCAATACAACCGCATGAATGCTTCAGCAGGTGTGTATATGCATGTTTGCGTGTACGCATTAATGTAATATCGTATGTGATTTTCTGACGGACCACGTTACCCCGAACTATCGAAGCAGGGAATGCCACCGTTGTTGCAGGTGCACGACAGCACCCGATGAAGTTTCGACACGCGTACGCCCGACGGGGGTGCGCGCGAGGGTTGCAATAATTTCCCGGCGACGGCTCCGCAGTCCCATCCCCGCCGGAAGTGAAACGCGCATCCGCTCTCGCCGATAGCCCGACCCCTCGTTAAGATGTTTCTCTCGCCCCTTCTCGAAATTCGCGGAGGTCGCAGCCATAAATTTTCCGAAATTTCACCGGCACAGAGTATTCTCCTTCGTGCCCACTCTCCTCGCGATGCCTCCCCTCGGTAGCGTGTAGTTCAACACCCGATTATCGCTAGCGGAAAACATAGCAATTGATACAGACTTCCGAGAAAACTTGCGACCGTATCGTGTTAAATTGAATTCCATAGCGGAATAATAAAGAGAACAAAACAGGCGTCTCGCAAATTCGTAATCTCGTAAATTAAACACGAGCTTTCTGCAAAGTTTTTCCTGATACAGCTTTGTCAAACCGTAATTAATTATATCAAATAGATAACGATAAAAGCTAAACACAGTAGAAAATAACACACAATTCACAAATGCTAATTTATACGCAATTTATAATATAATATAGAAATATATAATAAAAGTATTACGTGTGATTTTGATGATTTTGTAAAACACTATACATTCATATTTTAAATAAAGACGAAAACTGTGATATTGGAAACAAAAAGATTTAATTTGAATCTTGATGCATTTGTGTACAGTCATTTGACAATTGATCTTACGAAAATGCGTATTGTATGGATTCCTCGTGCAATTATAATCTACACAAATTACGTAGTTTCTCCTCGTATTATCCTCTATTGGACTGACCGTCTTGGCGAAGAAACAAGGAAGCAATAGAGTAAGTAAACTTAATTAATAGAATAAATTTTGCGAGGACTGTAATCTTGCTAACATTTACTTTCTTGCCACGCGAGCGCGAGGGATGGTTCGGAAAGGAGGGCAGCATCAGGGAGAAAGCTGCATCGCGCGGCGCGCAAATGTGGAATTCCAGAGGTGATTTACGTAAGTAGCTGCGATCACGACTAACGAGAGCCAATGTCAGCTACACTTTCGCTACTCGAAAATTCCGTTGAATTGCGCGAGAGAAAAAAGCGATAAGGTCGCACGGTCGGTGTCACGATAGGAACTACTTCCGATGCATCGCTCCCTTTAATTGCGCGAGCCTGTGGCGAAAATGAGTGACACTAGCGAGGCTAATGAGTTCCACAAAGTTTCCTCAATTAGAGCATCGCAGCTGGCTCTCGGCGAGATGGTAGTTTCTTGCAATAAAAAAATTCTCAAACACCTTATGAAAAATTCATGCCTTCAAAATATTTTCGTTTACTTCATTGTAGAATGAAATTGAAAAAGATCAAAATCTCATTGTCTACTCAAATATTTATCAAAATAATGTTATTTAATGTTATTAATTTATTTGTTCTAAATAATTTTATTATATAATTAAAGTCAATCGATCGATTAGAGTATGCATATTCATTTTTGTAACTGTTCTTAATAATTTATTTGTTATTAATTTTTATGTTCTTTTTAATAACATTTTTTTTATTTAATTTTGTATTTTACTTTATGTGCTATCAACTAATATTAACAAGTTATTGATGAAAAATTTTTGCCGTTCGAGTTTATTTCGTTTCTTGCATTTAATATTTGATGCTGATTATTATCGTACATCAAAGCTAATATTTATCTGCAGGATACAGATATATCTTTTTTGCAAAGACTTGAAAAATATTCATACCAGTTAATTGATTTAATTATTATTTTATATCGTTGCTTTCCAAATTTTAATGTTTAAAAAAATAAAATCGCATAAAATTGATAAATAAAAAGTTGTGATTTTAATAAATCAAAAATAAATAAAATTAAATTGATGCGAAAAATGTGGCTGTACATATTCTTGATTTATTAAAATCACACAATTTTATTCCTCTTGGGATATGAAAATTTGAAGTAAAATATAATAAATTAATTTCCATTTTCCGATTAAAATAAAGATAAACTTTAGTTCTTAAATTCATATTTAACGTTTCATATAGATTCCAACTTTTCTTTTAGATTAATCAATAATTCAAGCTTTTATTTCAAAAAAGAATTAAACAATTTGTATGTAATAATTAAAATTAAATTAATAATTACATTGTCAATATCAGCTAATTGCTGCAGAGCACATACATATACAAAACTAAAATAATTATAATTGCTAAAGTTAATTAATAAACAGATGCAATAAAGTATATATATTTAACTAAATAAATACAAAATATGATTATATATTTTCATAGCACAGAACTTTGTTGAAAAGATTTTTGCATTATACATATTTCTTTTGTTAAACAATAGAAATTAAAAGTTAATTATATTAAGCCTATAACAGAATATACAAAATGAAAGATTGATTGTGCTTTTTTAGCATCAACGCATTCGAGCGAAACCAGTCTGCGAAAGGTGATAGAAAGCAGCATGGCGAATCTCTCGATTTATCGTGGAACGAGAAGAGTGAAAATTATTAGAACCATTAAAGATTACGCGATACCCTCTGAACTCGACATGGTACTCGACATTACGACGACCGAGTACGCCAGGGGGATCAATTCTTTGCGCCGTCGAGAAAGTACGACTTTATTTATCACGTAGAGTAACAACTTTCGCAATTTTCCTTCACAACCTTCTGCACGTATTCATCTCCTTTCGCTTTTCCTCTCCGCGTTTTCCAATCCGTACCTGCAACATGATGTAAAAACGTTAAATCAACGTTTTATTTTTCTAAATAAATTTGATTTGCAATATAATAGAAAAATATTTATGTATATAACTTAGCATTAAAAAATTTTTTAAATAAAATCTTTTATTTGCACGTAAATTCACACAATTTCCCGCCACCATATATATCATAAGATGATCAGATATAACGAAATAAAATTTTGTTATAAAATTTTCTATAGATGTAAATAAGATAAAAGTGGCTTACAACCTTAAATCGACAAGAGAATCGCGCAAAACTCAGAGTAAATCAGTATAGTGCAAAGCTTCTTAAGAGCGGTAGAGAATATAAAAAAAAAAGCAGAATGTAATTATATACCGAAGGAACGTCTTATTTTCCCAAGGGATACCGAACGATAGACAAGAAAGTGGGTTTTATCTTTATGATACGCCGAGCGCGTAAAGTATGGCAGGAAGATGCCGTTACAAGGGAAAAGTACTCTTTTCCGCTGGATACTTTGCGCGCTCCGCGCCCGCTTCTTTATTCATTATTTTATTCGCGATAACGCCTCCACTCGCGTCGGTACCTACCTTATCCCGATTTTTTCGCGCGAGTTACACGACCCGACAGTATCTCCTTTATTATTCGCTCCACCAAGTTTATACGTCTTATAACAACGATATCATCGCGCGAAAAAGGGAAACGAGTTCATCGACTATCTCATCCTCCCGCATGCGGATCGTATGATGCCGTTAAACTGTGTGATGATAAAAGCTTTGTGCATCTTAAACTTTACATCCCATTTACATCATACACACATACGTATGTGACAAGAGAAATGCCCCGATTAACCGTTCTTGAGTTTTTTCACGGGACGCGAGAGAATTACCCGCGTTTTTTTAATTTAAGCTTCGTCAATTAAGATTTTAAAAAATCTCAAGAATAAATAATTCGTTGATGATATGAATACTTTTTAAAAATTAATAAAAGTATTAAGTTAAATTCTATTATTAATTAATTATAATTAATTATTTCTGTGAAAAATTATTATATATACATTCATAAGTTTTAAGAGTCAATATAATTATAATTTGTGCATAAATAATAAATAATTTTATTATGATCACATCTTTTTGTATGTTTTGAAATTACGCCGATTGCATTAATTATTGTAATATATATGTACATATATTTATATTAAATATTTATAATAATAATCTAATTTAATAAGCTAATTACTGGCGTTAATAAATATCGGTAGTTATTGATTTTAGTCACGGTGTAATACGAAAATATTATATTTCTATGACGATGCATGATATTCCCGCGTGACCCGCCGCCTTTGTTCCTTTATTTGCCATAACTCAAGTCGCGAGAAAAAAAAATTGGCGACGATGGAGGAAGAAGTGAAAGAACGCGTAGGAGAACGCCTTTCCCAAAGTGATTTATTTAGTTTGGAGGGCGCGAGCATGCGCGTTCCCATTCAAACTTGGCGATTTTTGCCCAGGCTAATCTGAAGAAGCACAAGCGTTTAACGTTTGCCAAGATGTTATTAATCACTCAGAAGCGAAGGCTCTGTTTAACGCCGACTTTTACACGAGCTTCCCCGTGGGCGATCCCAGGAAGAGATGCATCGCACTGTAGTCGACGTTGCATTAGACTCGCCGGACTCAATCAGAATAGCGATAATACGTTATATAATAAATTCTATTTGAAGACTATTAAAGCGTTGCGCGTACAGCTTAAAGCTTCCTTCCTCCATTTTGCGTCTCAACCTAGTACCGTAATTTAATTAACTTCCAGAAAATAGAAGCTAAACAGCGTGCTGGTGTACATTGATAATTTTTGTATGCGTGGCACAGTATTATTCTGATAAATTACAAGCCCGTAATGTGCCGTTATTAATCATTCGCTGTCGCAAAAGGAAAATAAGACGGGGGTGGAAAGGAAGTAACATAAAATGAAAGTAAAGTGGCTGTTTCGGATCGACTTGTACACACCGACGTCCCGCAATGACTATGAGAAATATTACACAAATACGTTTTGCTTTGCAACGTTACATTGATATTAAACGCGAGAATAAAAAAAATCATTCAAAATCCAATTCCTTAATGTTTAAATAATTTCATAATCTTTATCGAGATAAACGTTGAAGCACCTCTAATGAGTTGCGCAAATTATAATTCAACGAAATTCTCATGTTTCAGCCATAAAATTAGATTAATTCATTAATCATAGTGTAGTTAGACCAAGAAAACGATACTGTTGCGCAACAACAATGAAATATTAAATCATCTTTCTCAATGATTTCGAGCGTTGATTACAAATGTGGAATTGCAGATGGAAACTTTACCGCACGGATAAATTGCATTTGAAATCTCGTTTGACCCAGATATCGAATCTCTAATACGAAAGATCCGGTGGGCCGAGCTAAAAAGACGTAATTAGAATTCATGTAGGCGATCGTGTATACGGGAACGTATACACGAATGAGAATTCATCGGAGCGCGGGCAATAAATAACTCATGACGGATGAAGGGATTGATTGAAGTTAATTTAAACGTCGTCCGCCACCAGCACGATTCATTTCGATTGACGTAGACTCGAATGGGCAGCCTTAATTTATATGAAAAAGCACTATAGGAGGGAGGGAGCATACGCTTAAATATTTTCTTTCACTCATACATCCTCGGGCGGATCGATGGAGTCGATCTTCATTCATGAAAAGTTTTCTTGAGCGTGACTTTCTTCATCATTTTTTTTCACGCACCTTTGGCTTAACAGGCTTCTTCTTTCTTTCATCAACTTCAAGCCAGATTATGTTCGAGTAATCTCGATAGAAAATTAATAACATTTTCATTCACAACACGAGGTCCGCCTCGGTGATATTTCTCTTTAGAAACGATATATTCCGAAGTTGATCGAAATCGCAGATGAAAAGAAGCGACGGCGACACTTTGTCGTGTATACGTGTTTTTGCATGCGAATTCTCTCAGTCGAGTTTGTTGATGTTACGGGGGTACGGGCGTATCTCGATATATCGCCAAATCGATTCGCAACTCGTCATGCGAATATTTATTTCCATGTTATATGCTACATTTCTTCCCCTTCCTCCCCTCGGTGTTTACGGGTATTTTCTCTTTACCCTCCGTTTCCGCTCCAGTTCACGACGTAATAACATTTTAACGCGCATCAAGCACTAAATATCAGCCGCATGGGACACGTTTTCGTCGAATCGGACAGCGAATAACGAATAATGCGAATAAAGTCGAATATCCGATTTGCAAATGACAAAAAAACATGTCGTCCTTAAAACACGTCGTGTTGCACCGATTTCATTTGTCTGCATAATTAATTTGCTTATCCGTTATTATTATTATACGCGACATGTTACGGTTAAGTCGCGATACAGTTTCTTGTTGTGTATATTTACAGATTTATTGCATTTGTGTCACAAATGAATTCTTTAAAGTGATATCTTTGAAGAGAATTTAAAATAGCGCGCTACTCTACTGTATTTTTCACGGCTGGTTCATTAAGCCACGACATCACCAATCATGTTGTACAAAAGAACCACGTCGCTCCATTCACACAAAGTAATAAATGTTATTTTATTTATTATCCGTTGATCGTCCGACGAAAGCGGGACGATAGCCGCGATACTTATCTTCGCATAATCCGATTATTTCCCCGGAGATAGACAAGTTCTCTCATTTATCATTTATCAGCCACACTACGGACATTATCACTCGACAGCGCGGTGATGAACGCGATACGATCGGTAAAAGGTTTGAAGGAAATTAAGCTGCGAATCGTCGAAGCCAATCGCATGATTTTCATGTCTGCGGACAAGCCGACAAGCAACGTCTCAACTCTTTTTTTCACTGAGACGTGAGGTATATATATTTCGCGGAAAACATAAATGCAAATGTTACTATCGCAGACGATTGCGGTACTAAAGGCGTTATGTTAGCGTAGCAATCTGTGAGAACATTTCTACCTTATTGCGCAGGATGTAGTCCGGTTGCTCGCTTCGCATCTCGACAATGTCGGAGTAGAATCTTCGCCGAATGTCGCCTGGAAACCATCCAAAAGTGGACATTAGAACATTTACAAATCTCCCGTTAAATCGCTGCGTACGTATGAGTATTATAATTGAGCCTTTTGCCTTATCTGAACAGCAATACGCTAACGTAATATTATATTATATTTAAATAAAAAATTTTATAATATATTTCTTTTAATATACTTAAATTTATTATTATTTTATATATTTAAATAAAATTAAGTGTTTCTTATTATTCTCCTTTAATTATGAAGCTATCAAAATTTTGCAGAAAATACATTTTTAAAAATATTGTTTTTCAGATTAATTGTTTTAATTTCTTTCAGAATAATACTTATTCAGACGAATTAGAGAGTCTATGGTTTTCAAATTTCCAAATGACTAAATAAAAACCGACTTTTCTTGTATGAAGCAAGCTTTCTTTATTAATAAAACGTTATAACGCAGAAATTTGATTTGATTACCTAGATTTCGGTCGACTGCTTAAAGAGAACACGAAAGAGAGCCAGGGTAATATACAGATGGATATGGCACCGACATTAGAAAAACGCGAAGCCGAATAATTCACTTCGTTCTCGCGAACTTTCGTAACGCGGCTATAATGTTAATGCGTGGATAAGAATTATTGAGGAAATTTCGCGGAAAGTTTCACGACTCTCTCGCATCGGCATCGAAGAATAAGAAGCGGCCGTGCAAATACGCGATGGGGGAAGGGGTTCGGAAGCGAGGAAAGGGATAAAAGTGGGTGGGGTACGAAGAGATCCTTGAGATCCTCCAGAAATCCGCATAGCGAGGTTTTAGTGGTTGAATAATGTAACGGGCATCGGCTGAATGATTTAAAAGTAAAAGTCCTGAGCGACGTCACCGAGAAAGGAAGAGTGTAGGCGGGAGGGTGACTCCGGAGAAACGAAAAGTTTTATGTTATTTCATGGTGGGGGGAGGGGACGAGTCCGTTGGGGCACCCTGAGAGAGATTAACACGAAAAGTTCCAATGTTACTGAAACTTGCTGTTAAGTACCGGCGCGACAAATGAGTCAGTATCACTTTTTCTCGACTGAAAATTTATATCGACATCTTTCTTTATCCAAAACATATCGCTTTTATATTTATTATCATTCTTACGACACTCTTTCATCTTTATCATCGCATGATTTTTTTATTTTAATTTTTTTAATGTTATAATTTATATTAAAAATTAATGTCATGCATAAAAAGTTTAGTATAATATAATAGTATTATATATAATAATACTGCATTACAAGAATTATAAATTAAAAAAAATATATAAAAATATGTAAATTTTAATTGTAAGTTGAAAATATATTAGAAAAGTTGAAACTGAAACTTATTCATGAACATAAACTTTCAAACTGATTTAAAGCAGAAAGTATTTAAGGATAATACGCATAGATTTAACAGCCATATTACATCAACCGCATTACATAAATTTTATAACACAAGAATTATTCTAATACAGTAAAATCTAAATATCACATCTCATCACGCTTGTTTTACCTATAAAAACTGGACCGTCACCATTTTCAATATCTCAGAATTTACGATAAACCATATTACAACAATTACACTAATCGTCATCAGAAGTGTCAAAAAAAAAAAAGAAAAAGAAACGCGCAAGAAGTTGTCGTGAGTCTGTTGCCATGTTGAGGGGATGTTTTCAGGGTTCTATCGAGATGGATTATCGGTGTATCGCATTCGCCGGAAGTATTCTCTTATCCTACAGGTCCGTCGAGTCGTTTCTCAGGTGACGTTAATAACCCATAAATAGCGCGCGTATATACGCGTTGCTTATGTCGCTGCGCCAACGGAGCGGAGCGTGTGTAAGAGCGCGCGCACGCGGATGTGTGCGGGCACTCTCGCGAGGAATTCATTTCACCGACCGGCACGAGGGATAAGGAACGGGGTCTTGACCTGCCCGACCGTTTCACGCCTAACACGATGCAAGAGATACCGTGTCGACCGTTGTAATAATAAACGCTGCGATCGGGCGTGCACATGGCTCTCATCGGTAGTCACGAGACCGAGCTCTGACGTCGTTTGTTGAGATTATCGTGTAACACGTACGCCTTATTGATACTCGGTTATCAATCTGCGACGGGATCCGCGAGACTGTGTTAGGTAGGTGGGTGGCACGGTGGGTCGTGCAATAAGTTTCCACGAGAGAAAGATCGATTAATGAAATCAATTACAACACGATCGGAAAATTATTTCCATATTTTTGCCGCCGCTACAAGAGGTCACGTATCTCTGGAATTTAAAATATTCTCGGCTAACAACTCGGAATAACCCGAATCGAATTTATTCGCTCAACTGAACATATGTAAAAATAGGTAAAATAAAATTAAAAAAAAAAAATGAAAAAAATCGCTAAACACAGAATTATCTGACCGAGGCACCCGGTTTCTAAAGTGTTGAAATCCTCGTATCCTCGCGATTTTATAAAAAAGGAGATTGAATGACGCTGTGTCGCGTTGCACATACGATTGGTATCTAATAACAGCGGGCAAATCGGGTGAGGAAAAAGAGTCAAACGGAGAGTTATAGTTAAGCCACGCCGCATATTCCCGCGAACGCGATATCCCGAGCGATGCAAAGGGAAGGAAAAAAAAAAGGATCGTTCGATTGTATCCGAGCGGAGCATTTCGCGCGTGCATATGTCCCTGATCACGTGTGCGTACACGGGATATATTCTGTACATTGAAAAAATATCCGATGACCGACTTTATCCAGCTTGGAAAAAGCAAGGTGCAGCTTGGAAAAAAAATATTGCTGGTGCGAACTGACGTTAATCGAGCATACCCGATGCGAAAACAAAGACTTCTATGCCGCCGCACGTTAACGTGACGAGAGACCGACGTGAACTATGAATTAATCCGCGAATGGTCTGCACCATGGTCTCTTTTCCCGCGATTCGTATCCCCCTTTCGACATACATTGTATTTCTGCACGTGTAAGTTGCAGATAATGACTCACGCTTCAATGAACCGGCGATTATTTCGAGCGTTTCAGATGTTATCGTTTATGAAGATAAATGGTGGAAATGGCGATGCATTGGTCCAAAGGGATTGGTACAAATGCGCAAGGATCATTGACTTGACAGCGAATGCATTAATTAGATAGTCGGACCTTGTTAACTGGAAAAAAATTTTTAATTGATTTCCGATCGTGCGAAATTCCGGACGAGAAAAGCGCGGCGCGATATTATAAACAGCAAAATGAGTTTAACGTATCAATGTATCAAGTTTTAATATTCCGCAAAGTGACAACGACAGGAAAAAGAGCTGTCATTCAATTATAATTTACGCGAGACGGAGTCTTTTGTGGACAGGCGAGAATTATTATTTCTAAATCCGTCGAGGACACCATGCTGCATCGTCATTTATACGCGTATATCGAAACTTTTTCGAATTTTAATTCGCTTCAATCAAGCACGTGCCGGCAGCACACAGCAGAGTACGCATGACTGACAGTCATAATAAAAAATTCCTGTGTCGCGCGCAGACATAGGCAAATATGTATGCGACGAATGCTACGGCCGTCTAATCAGAGCTTCTGACGACGTGATACGATAAAAATTTGCTCGGACTCGGGGCGAAATACGTTTGTTGCCGATTGCAGGGTACAATCACGGGGTCCGACGCGCGATATCTTCCGTTCCATCGCGTTATTTAAATCGCGCTCCGTTTTTGCCGCAAAGCCGCACGATCGTTCTTGCGCGATAGCTCCAAGTGTTTCCAGCTATATATACATGCATACGTACATAGTGTTCCAGTTATATATACATATACTTTATCAAGTAAAGCGTCTACCTTAATTAAGATATTAAACTGCAGATGGAAGTGAGGATTTTTATAATGCAAATATTATATCGTGCAATGACATTTCGTTAAAATTTCGTTCTAATCATTTTATAATCGTAAAGATTATTATAAATTTTAAATTATATATAAATTATTATAAATTGATATAGACTTATATTTTTTAACATTATCATTATTATTCATGTTTAATTGTTACGTTTAGTATCAATTAATTGTTCTGATGTCTCGTACAGTAGGAACTCGTTATGAGTACCAATATAAAAATATTTCACAATTTTGAAATTATATCATAGGTCACACTTGAGCCATTTATAATCAAAGCTGTTACACTCTTTACCGCCGTTGGCACGAGTGAATAAATTTTAATTGTCAGAGGATCACACAACAAGGAAAAAGAGGAAGAAAGAGAGTCCGTTTTCTGCACAAACAATTTTCCGGGGAATCGAATTAGTACTCATAGCGCGGAACTCCCGCGACGCGCATAAATCTCGATTAAATGTCCATTATTCCTTTTTTTTTTCCTCTACTCGTTCGATGAGTTATGAGCGAACGCGAGCACAGTCTACATATTAGGCAACTGCAGTGAGGAATAAATTACGATCGGCCAGTGCACATACTTGACCACACTGCACGGCGATCTGTCGAGAAAGTCTGGTCCAGCGTGTTTGGGAGGCGTATACACATACTTACACGCACACTTACACGCAAGACTCACATTGCCGAAGATAAAGTAATCTCTATTGTCTAAAGCGACAATGAATGATTCGTAGGTAGACTGTAACCCCTCTTCTGCCCCACTGATCTCCCGCGGCTACGAGATTTCACAGGGGAAAGTCCCTCTATCCGTCCTCTCTGAGATCCTGGAGAAACGCAGATGCAGAACGAACGCAGCATCGAACGAGCGAGAGCGAGAGGAGGCCCGGCGGATTCGTGCGCATTTGCTCGCTTTGCGTTTTCATTAATCATTTTGATTAGAATGGAGCATTGATCTACGGAGATAGAGATTTAGTGTTCTCCATCTAATCAATACAAAGTTTTTTTTTCATTAAAATCAACGACGTGTACATATTGCATACAGATATTAGAGATATTAGTTGTTCTAAAAGAAAATGTTAATTGTTCCAGTAATGAGTCACTATTACCTTTCGAGTACAATGAAATTAATAAGTAAATATAATAATAAGTAAATTGAATTTGCGTAACAAAATTTTACGCAGATCATGCGTTCCAAGAACTTTAATAAAAAAGTTAAATTGAATTTGGGAATGCTTTAAGAAAATTCTGTACTAAATATAATGTAGATGTACGAAAAAAAACTTATCAATTATTTCTTTTTCTCTTGTTAATTTTTTATCGGATTTCTAATTAAATAAATGTTGTCTCTAAACATATATAAACATATATTTCAATATTTTAGTATATTTCAAACGTGACGTTAACAAATTATTTTTAAATTTGTCCTAGAACTTGATTAATATCAAATTGTAGGATTATATTATAATAGTCGGTAAATTAATTATTTGGCATTTCAGAAGAAAACGAGACATCCGACATCAGAATGAATGTCGACACTTTCTAATTGTCGTACGTACATCTTTTCACTAATCAGGGACACGTGCAGTCGCGGCGCATATTTAAGTGCGTTTTCCCAGACACTCCTTTCCAATCTGACCAAGATCTGATAGCGGCTGACTACAATCGAAATTTTCTTCGATCGTCGGCATTGCTCACCATTAAAGCATGTAGGCGCGCGTGCATGCCGCTTGTCGATGTATGCCAAGCGGATTAAAATGGATATACAAGTAACGTCAAGAGTCACGTATATAACTTTCAATGCGCCTACGCCGCATCGCCGGGTAATAATTTAAGAAATTATTAGAATTAGTAATTTAGACATTTACAATCGAGAAAGCCTATATATCTGAATATTCATTTGCATAATTACACGAAAAATACATTTAACATCTGAAATTTTATCAACATCTTTTTAATAGCCTTCTATCCTTTTTTCTAATTGCTTACGTGTCTCGTATCTCTTTTCTATTAAAATGATTAATAATATGATTTTGAATGAGAAAAAAGCAACCAAAATCGATTTTATAAAAGATACTTTTATTCTGAAATATCCTATTTGTTTTATAAATCACATTTTAATAAATAATCCAAGATACCTTTTGATTTATTAACAATTGAAAAAAATATTTCTTACTATGGTGACTAAGATATATTGCTAGATCGAACACGTATTTCGTAGTTCTCCGAATCTTTATTGTCTTCCTGAAGAATGCCTTTAGTCAAAATACATTGACGTTGTGGGAAATACTCGCGCGGTTGCAATTTACTCCCCTTGTTCGATAAATAACAAAAGTGGATTTATGTTTCCTTTAATACGTGTATGTTGAGGCCTGATTGGAATCGGATCTGAGAGATATTGGCCGTATCAGTGTGATAGCCTAGATACGATCCTGACTGAGACACGGGATACAGCGGACCATGCAGCCTCGCGGGGTCAGGATTACGACACATTGGATCAACCACATACCTTTTGAGCGTGCTCTAAGGCTCATTCATCTTGAGAGGGCCGGGGTCCTGCCTCTCCAATCTCCGCGTGATTATGTATTACATTAATATGTAAGTCGACCTACCCACGTACGGATATTATATCCATCCCAGAGCCGGCTCGTTTGTTTGTGATACGCGTTTCCATGTAGGCTTGGGAGATTGGAGGGAGATGTGCTTCGAGTAATAGGAAGACTAGAAGCGAGCCCATTATCTCAAAAAGGAAGCATACTGAATGCAAGGAAGAAACGTACGATGAAAGATGCGTCCCAAATAACTAA